AACAGAACTTGCAGAAAAGATCAAGGTTCAGAGCTTCAGATGAAACAGCGTAGCCCTAACATGATTTAATATTACAACGAACACTGTAATATACCGAAGAGTTTAGTTTGTCATAACCCTAGCCTGTGCAATTTATCACAACCTGTTTAATGCAGACACGTACTAAGGTTAAGTCGAAGTCGAAGTCTCAGCAGAGCTCTTGTAGAAGCAAAAAAAAGTTTTAGACCTGCCTTGATTTCGATCTTAACTATGCTCCTTGTCGTTTTTCAGATTAATCCTAAGAAGAGACTTCGAATCAAAACAACACAATAACGTTGAAGCGTTTTATTTACAAATATCTGACAAATACTATTGAAGTTCTGAGATGCATTCGGCACTTAAATACGAATATTCTCTGAATTTTTTTCCTGTGTAGATTTTAGTTTTGAAATATTAAAAAAAGACTCTCCAATTGGTTTATTGAACACGTTGAAGCAGGCCCTTTCTAAAAGCAGTTACATTCGCCCTTTGTTCACCATACGCGTCTCAAAAACCTCTAAGCTTTTATTTTACAAACTGTTTACCATTAAGTTCCCATATACAGTATTTCTCTGTGGACAGGCTCTTCGTCATTTACAAAGTACGCTTCTATAATTTAGTTGTCGTGTGACCTTAGCGTTCGAGTGATCATAAGAGTGGCCCTGAAATGGACTTTTGTCGGTGGCAGTGACTCAGGGAACACTTTATTTTATTGTGACTATGTACAAGATAAAATTTTTAGCTCATTTCATTTATAACAGGCTTTTAGAAGCGTGAACATCCTATATACTTTGCACTTAGCAATGATAACTTTTTTTCATTGTGCACAGATGATCAATTCTTGTAAGCACTGATGTAAAACCCTTTTTCAATTATCTAAATGTATTGTGTTTTGTTAGTTAAGGCTCGGAGGGACACTGCTTTTGTGTCCGTCGTAATATTTTCCGGTTTTTTTTTTTTGGTTTCAGGTTTGGCGAGAAAGATTTTCCATTTCTCCCAATTTTCCCGCCATTCTGTT